GAATGCTAGACTGATAACTGTTGTTGTATGCAAACTCTACAAGTGGCAAGAACTAATCCCAATAACCTCCAAACTCCATCACACACGCACAGAGCATATCCTCTAGAATCTGAATAGTGCGCTCGGACTATCTATCAGTTTGAGGGTGAAATGTTGTGCTCAACTCTACCTGAGTACCTAACTCCTGCTGTACAATCCTCTAGAACCGTGATGTAAACTGCGTACCCCGATCAGAGATGATAGATACCAATACGCCATGAAGCCTGACAATCTCGCGGATATATACTCGAGCCAGCTGCTCGAAAGAATAAGTAGTCATCACAGGAATGAAATGAGCTGACTTGGTCAACCTGTCCACAATCACCTAAACTGCATCAAACTTCCGTTGAGTCCGTGGGAGTCCAACAACGAAATCCATAGTGATCCGCTCCCATTTCCACTCTAGAATCTCTAACTTTTGAGGCAATCCACCCGGCCGCTGATGCCCATACTTCACCTGCTGGCAATTTCGGCACCAAGCTACATATTTCACTATGTCCTTTTTCATCCTCGTCCACCAATAATGTTGCTTCAAGTCCTTGTACATCTTCGTGGCACCCGGATTTATGGAATACCGTAAACTATGAGCTTCCTGGAGAATCAACTCACACAATTTGTCTATATTAGGCACACATTGCTTGCCCTACATCCTCAATGCACCATCATATCCAATAGTGACCTACTTAGCATCACCATGCTGAACCATGTCCTTAAGGATGAGTAGATGGGGGTCATTATGTGGACGCTCCCTGATACGATCATAAAGAGAAGACTAGGAGACCACATAAGCCAAAACTCGGCTCAGCTCAGAAATATCCAATCTAACAAACTCGTTATCCAAGGCCTGAACAACCAATGTCAATGGCCTCTCTATTGCTGGTAAATATGCTAAAATCCCCAAACTCCCAGCCCTGTGACTCAAGGGATCGACCACCACATTGGCCTTCCCGGGATGGTATAGAATAGTGATATCATAATCCTTAAGCAACTCTAACCACCTCCGTTGATGCAAGTTAAGATCCTTCTGCTTGAATAGATGCTACAAACTCCGGTGATCAGTATAGATCTCACAAGGGACACCACATAAATAGTGATGCCAAATCTTCAAGACATGAACAATAGCTGCTAACTCAAGGTCGGGGACATGATAATTCTTTTCATGTACCTTCAGCTTTCTGGATGCATAGGAAATCACCCTACAGTCCTACATCAACACCATACCGAGACCAATCCGCGACGCATCACAATAAATAGTATAAGACCTTGAACCTGTAGGCAATACCAATACTGGGGCGGTAGTTAAAGTTGCCTTGAGCTTTTGAAACTCTCTTCACACTCCTCTGTCCACCTGAACGGAGCACCCTTCTAGGTCAGCCTGGTCATAAGCACTACAATAGATGAGAATCCCTTAACGAATCGACGGTAATACACCGCCAAACCAAGAAAACTTCGGATCTCTATAGCTAAGGATGGTCTAGGGCAACTCTGCACTGTTTCCACCTTCTTCGGATCCATCTTGATCCCCTCACTCAACACTACGTGACCCAAAAATTCCACTGAATCTAACCAGAACTTACACATTGAGAATTTTGCATATAACTTCTTTTCTCTCAATGTTTGAAGCACAGTCCTAGGGTACTGCTCATGATCCTCCAGACTCCGGGAGTACACTAAAATGTCGTCAATAAACACAATGACAAAAAAGTCAAGATATAGCCAAAATACACTGTGCGTCGGGTGCATAAATGTTGCTGGGGAATTAGTCAGCCCAAATGATATCACAAAGAACTCGTAATGACCATACCGAGTCCTGAAAGCAGTCTTCGGGATATCTGGCTCCTGAATCTTCAACTGATGATAACCTGAACGTAAGTCAATCTTGGAAAACACTTTGGCACCCTGTAACTGATCAAGTAAGTCATTAATATGAGGCAAAGGATACCTGTTCTTCACTGTAAATTTGTTCAACTGGCAATAATCAATGCACATACGTATGGAACCATCATTTTTCTTCACAAACAAGACAGGAGCACTCCAAGGTGACACACTAGGCTGAATGAAGCCCTTATCAACCAATTCCTGTAACTATTCCTTCAACTTAGGAGGATCCATACAATATGGAGGAATGGAGATGGGCTGAGTGCCCGACAACAAATCAATACCGAAGTCGATATCTTTGTCGGGCGGCATGCTCGGAAGATCAGCTGGAAATACATCAGGGAAATCCCTCACTACTGGGACTGACTCAATTGTAGGGGCATCAATACTAACATCTCTCACATAAGCTAGATATGCATCACACCCCTTCTCAACCATTCATTGAGCTTTAAAAAATGAAATAACTCTACTGTGAGTATAATCTAAAGTACCCCTCCACTCTAACAGTGGTAAGCCTGGTATATCCAGCGTCAAGGTCTTGGTGTGACAATCAAGAATAGCATAATGGGGCGACAACCAGTCCATGCCCAAGATCATATCGAAATCTATCATACTGAGCAATAATAAATTGGCTCTAGTCTTAAAACCACTAATAACAACCAAACACAACTAATACACACGGTAAACAACAATAGAATCTCCTACAGGTGTAGAAACATAAATAGGAGAACTCATAGAATTACAGGATACGCCCAAATACAGAGCAAAATAGGATGACACATAGGAATAGGTGGAGCCTGGATCAAATAATACCGATGCATCTTTATGATAGACCAGAACAAAACCTATAATGACAAAGTCGGAAGTAACTGCCTCTGTACGAGTAGGAAGAGCATAGTATCTGGCTTGGCCTCCCCCTCTAGGGCAACCTCTACCTCCCCGACCTCCACCTCGAGCTAGCTGAGTAGGTGGAGTAGTAGTTCATGTTGTAATCATAGCCTAAGGATCATGTGGAGCACGTTGTGGCTGAGAAGTATATGGAGGTGCACCCCTCCTAAGTATGGGGCAATCCCTCACCATATGGTGAGTGTTGCCACACTCAAAACAAGCCCTCGGAAGGCGCGGATGTTGTGACTAACTCGGGCTATATTGGACTGACTGCTAAAAACACCCCGTACAGGAGGTACACTCGATATTGGCGATGTATAATAAGGCTCCTGGGGCCTAGAAGTAGCCGGAATACCACTGGTAGCTGGAAGAGCTGAATGAATAGGGCGACTCACATAGCCCCTACCATATCGAACTGCAGTTGGGGCACAAGTACTAGTATAAGTGTCGGACTCTCGAAACCTCTTGACATCCCTCTCCTCTCTCTCCCAATCAAGCATGCCCTCTACTCTCCTAGCAATACTCACAACCTGCTTATACAAGATATCCATCTCTAACTCCCGGGCCATGCTAGTCTTGATGCTAGGATGGAGCCCCTCGATAAATCGACGGACCCTCTCTCTCGAGTAAGAGCAACCAAAGTTGGTGCATGTCTAGCCAAATCGCTAAAACGAACTACATACTCTGACACAGTCATAACACCCTGGTGCAACTGCTCAAACTCGGCGTGCCATGCATCTCTGAGGCTCTAGGGAACATACTCCCTTAAAAACATATCCGAGAACTGAATCCATATAAGTGAAGCTGCCTCAGCCAGACTGTCCAACTCATAAGCACTCTACCACTGATAAGCTGCACCTCTAAGATGGAATGCGATAAAAGAAACCCCACTCGACTCTGCTATGCCCATAGTACGGAGGATACGGTGGCACTCCTCAAGAAAACCCTGAGCATCCTTTGTCGCCAAACCACTGAAAGTAGGAGGGTGATACTTCTTGTACCTCTCGAGCCTACGCTCTTCCTCCTCAGAAACTGCTGCCCTACCCTCAGGCTGGACCAGGGCTATAGGTGGCACCGGTATAACCTCTGGAGTCTGATCGACCTAAACCGGCTACTCTAGGTACGGGCAACGAAAGTCTATGCTCCTCCTCCGGCCTGAGATATGGCAAGAGCAAGGGGAATCAACCCTGCCTGAGCTAAAGTACCGAACATGCTCAGAAACTATGTAAGGGTCTCCTGAAGAGCTAGTGTAGTAGTAGGAGTCTCAGGTGCCTGCGCTCCGACTGGAGCTACTGGTGGCTCCTCTGTGGCAGCTCGTGCAGGTGCTCTAGCTACACCACATGGACGCCCTCAACCTCTACCCTGGCCCCGGCCTCTTACGGCTCTAGTAGTGGCATGGGTTCCTGGTCCTCTGATCTAGCTATCGTGTCATCACCATCTGTGAGAGAATAGAAGATAGAAGTTTAAAATTTTGAAGTCAACAAATTTCGCACGACAAGAAATCAAAAAAAGTGAAATTTTCCTAATAGATCAATAGCATCCCAAATTTAAATACGGACGTCTCTGCACCGATCCGCAAGACTCTGCTAAACCTTCTTGTAACTTATGACACTTATGAACCTAGAGCTCTATTACCAACTTGTCACGACCCAAATCCTCCTCTGTGATATGTCGTGATGGCATCTAGTCTCTATGACTAGGTAAGCCTATCATATGCGGAATAATGAAATCGAAAGCATAAATTCGACAACTAGCTATAATAGATATTCAAATAAACAATAGAGATGCCGCTCGACATATACAATAACCAACTCTCAATATACACAAAAACTCTCCCAAGACCCGTAACACCATAAGTCACAAGCTTCTAGGATTTGTCTAACTATTCTGTACATCAGTATCTAGAAAAAGTAATAAAGAAAAAAAATAAAAGAGATAGAGGGTGAATCAAGGTCTGCGAACGTGGGCAGATGTACGTTGAAGTCTCCGAAGCAGCAGCAACAATGCAACTAAAAACGAGACTGGTAGGAGGTACCTAGATCTGCACACCAAAACATGTGCAGAAGAGTAACATGAATACACTATAACGGTACCCAGTAAGTGCCAAGACTAACCTTGGTCGCGTAGTGACGAGGTCAAGTCAGGGCCCTACTGGTATATGTATATAAAATAAGGCAGAACAAACTATCGCAGTATTAAAAAAAGACTGAAATTTAATAAGAAGGGAATCACAGAAACATAACAGTACAGTGTACAGAAATAACAACAGGGGATTAGATACCATCTCATAGTCCTAAAAAGTAAATGTGTAGGGGGTTCCCGAGGATACCGTCTCGCAGTCCCAAAGTAAATATGCAAGGGGATCTTTCAGGATACCGTCCCGTAGTCCCAAAGTAAATATGCAGGGCGATCTCCCAGAATACCGTTCCGTAGTCCCAAAATAAATATGCAGGGGCATCTCTCAGAATACCATTCCGCAGTCCTAAAATAAATATGCATCTCAAACAATAGAAGAAATAGTTATAGCAAGAAATCCTACAGTTTAGACTAAGTACAAGTCAAGGAAAAACAATAAATCCACGAAGCATGCTGCATAGAGTTCAGATAAGCATTTAAGGCACGTAGACATGCTAATCTAGGCTAAACAAGATAACTACACATGCTGGTATAACTCAAATAAGAAGAAACAGGTTATTACTCAGTAAAAGTCAAATTTTACAATGAATAGCCCGTGTACGCACTCGTCACCTCGCGGACACGACACTCACATATCAAACAATACCAAATCCTAAGGGGAGTTCCCCCCACAAGGTTAGGCAAGCCACTTACCTCGAACCAAGCTCAATCATTCTGTAACAATGCCTTTTTCCATGAATATCCAACTCCGAATGACCCAAATCTTAGCCAAAAGCAATTACATCATCAATACGACTATAATAGACTAATATAATTAATGAAATCAAGACTTTAATAAGAAATTCGAAAATCTCCCTAAAAAGCCTTCTTAGGCCCACGTCTCGGAATCGAGTAAAAGTCACAAAATATGAACACCCATTCATTCACGAGTTCACTCATACCAAAATTATCCAAATTTGATGTAACATTTCCAATCAAAACCCAATAATTTAGTCTAGGAAGCTTCTACCATTTTTTCCAAAATTTCCAACTCAAATCCCTAATTAGATGATGAAAATAGTAATATTCGTGAAATATGGTCCAATCCCGGTTAGAATCACTTACCCCAACAATTTCCTTCAAGAACCCTCGAAAAATCGCCTCACACCGAGATCTTAAAGTCCCAAAATTGAAAATGGAATAAAACCCTTGAATTCCTCTTCTTCTGCCTAGCAATTCCGCATCTGCGGGCCTCTAATTGCACCTGCAATGCCGCACTTGCGGAAATTCCATCGCAGATGCAGAAATTACTCAAAAGTCTGGTCCACTTCTGCGATTAAAGGGGTCACACCTACGAGTGCGCGCCTGCGGAAATTGGTCCGCTTCTGCGGTCCTTCTCCGCTCTTGTGAGTCCTTAAGCGCATTTGCGGGCATCACATATGCGGCATTTCCCTCGCAACTGCGACCCCTGGAAACTCCTCCCATTTCCTCTTCTGTGCTTGCCTCTCCGCATGTGCAATCCATAACATGTGGTCTCCCTACCGCAGGTGCGAAAACACCAGAAACCAAAAAACTTCAGCAATTGCATAAATCCAAATCTTAATCCTTTAAGCATCTGAAACGCACCCGAGGCCCTCGAGACCTCAACCACACATACCAACTAGTCCTAAAATACCATACAAACTTAGTTGATCCCTCAAATAATATCAAACAATGCTAAAAACATGAATCACCCTCCATTCTAAACTTAATGAACTTGAAACTTCAATTTTCTACAACCGATGCCGAAACCTATCAAACCACGTCCAATTGACCTCAAATTTTGCACACAAGTCATATTCAACATTACAGACCTACTCCAACTTCCGAAATTAAAATACAACCCTGATATCGAAAAGTCCACCTCCGGTCAAAATCTCTAAAAATTTGACTTTCACCCGTTCAAGCCTAAATCATCTACATACCTCAAATTCATAGTCCAGACATGATCCTAAGTCCAAAATCACCCAACGGAGCTAACGGAATCGACAAAACTCCATTCCGGAGTTGTCTTCATGCAGTTCCGACTACGATCAAAATCCTAAGACTTAAGCTTTCGTTTTAGGGACTAAGTGTCCCAAAACACTCCGAAACCAAAAACAAAATCTCCTAGAAATTAACATAAATAGAAAAAGATACAAGGGAAGCAGTAAATAGGGTATCGAGGCTATTACTCTCAAAACGATCGGTTGGGTCGTTGGCTTAGAATTATTGAATTTCTTAAAGCTAACATTGATTATTTTGCATGGTATCATTCTGATATGACAAGTATTCCAATGGAAGTGGTTGTCCACAAGTTAAATGTTAGGCCCTAATTTCCCTCCGATAAAGCGGAAGAAGCTGCCGTAGCCGAGGTCAAGAACATATTTGTAAAAGAAAAGGTAACAATGTTGCTAAATATAGGTTCAATACGGGAAGTAAGTTATCCTGATTGGTTATCTACTGTAGTAGTTGTAACCAAAAAGAATAATAAGCTTAGAATATGTATTTATAAGGATTTATATAAGGCTTGCCCTAAGGATTCCTTGGGTTACCTTTAAAACCAAGTCTCGAGAAATTTCTTGGCTTCTTGGTTTCTCAAAGAGGAATTGAAGTAAATCCTAACAAGATTAAGGCCACACAAAATACACCTGAGCAACTGAAAAGTGTAAAGGAGGTGCAAAGGTTGACTGATAGGTTGGCCGCCTGTCACACCTCCCTTTTTCACTACACCCCGCAAAGGGCGTAAAGGAGTTTTTCCATTTAAAGGACAATCGGAACGGGATTTAATTATTAATGATTCAGAGTCGCCACTTGGGATATTAATGGTGTCCCAAGTCACCGGTTGAATCCCGAACCGAGGAAAAATATGACTCTGTTAACAGTCCGCGAACCAGAAATCCGGGTAAGGAATTCTATTAACCCGGGAGAAGGTGTTAGGCATTCCCAGGCTCCGTGGTTCTAGCACGGTCGCTTAACTATTGTATTTAATTTTATCTGATTTTGATACATGCTAGCCTATGTGCTTTTATTTATAAACCGCTTTTATCATTATTTTTAACGAGAGTTGCAACGTCGTGAAAATGTGTCTCGAACCACGTCACATCAATGCACCCGTGGTTATTGACACATTCCAACTCCGTTGAGATTTGGACTTGGGTCGCATCAATGCGCACCCGAGTTTTAAGAAAGTAATCTTATTAAAAACGCTCTTAAAGGGTCTAACACGTTGTTATCTTTAGGGAAAGCCGTGAAGTTCGCTAAATGGCCCTCCCAAATTCTAATCATTTTTAATAACCATTTATTGAGGGCCCCACATTTATTTATTTTCGTTCGGTGGAGCTCATCTCAATTTGTGAACCTCTTTTCTATCATTATTTTATTTATAAGAATTACGATGTCGTGAAAACGCGTTTCGAACCCCGTTGCAATCAATGCGCCCGTGATTGTCAACACATTTTGACTTCATCGAGATTCGGATTTGGGTCGCATCAATACGCACTCGAATTTAGGAAGGTAATTTTATTAAGAGCGTGTTTAAAGCAACTACGCGTCTGCACTTTGCGAGGGCCATGGAATTTAGCTAAATGGCACGCCTCAGAATCTAAGGATTAATACAAGATTAATTAAAGTGAGGGCCATGTAATTGTCGTATTAAATTTTGCTTTAAGAAATTGGGTGTCCTATTCCTCCTAACAGTGAATCGATGTACTCCAATGTGACAAACTAAAACATGAATCCAAACAGTGACAAATCAACGCCTGCTTGAGCCTTTCCAGTTGTGTGACTCGGCAAACTAAAGACCTGCTAATAATTTCACAGGTTTCAACTTAAGCTGCCAGGGAGGAAAGCACACAGAACATCCAGTGCAGAATCTTTATCCATGAATTTGGCTTAGCTTTAACGATCAATATTAATGCCTATAAAGTTCTTAAACAGAGAATCAAACACGAATACAGAAGGCTGGAATTGCTTCTACC